CTTTCCTGCTCCTCTGATGCTGCCTGGCCTGCTGTGTTCCTCCAGCTCCACACTGTGTTATCTCATATATGTTGGGTCAATTACCTTGGATGGATAGTTTGCAATGCAGTGTGATGCTATCGCTGTGAGTTCACCTTCTGCACTGGCTGAGATTATGAATGATTCTTCTTCTCAACCTCTTCCCCCTCATCTGAGGCCTGATGACCATCAGGTATAACCACCATTTAATGTGCTTGCTGCAATGTGAGAGTATTCTAATCGTCTGGTAGGACTGTGGTGAATTTACCTTTTGGTTTGCTGTATTTACACGGTCATTAAATACAACGAGGCATGCTTTGAACTTCATTACGCCAAAGGTCTGAGTCACATTAAAATTTTCACTCTCCTCCCCCACTGCCTGATTTGGACAGTTCCAATAAGCAGTGGTTTACGCTGCTACATGTGACAGAGTCCACTGAGATGGCACCTTGGTGTAGCCTAATTGTACCTAATGTACAATTGTACCTAATGTACAGTCAAAACAAAAATGCTCCAAAGTAATCATTATACAGAGAGTGTGTCATTATGTTACTGAACTAATAACACAAACACAGAACCAAAGACTCGAAATGTTAACTCTGTTTCTCTCGCCACAGATGCTGCCAGACCTGCTGATTTTCTCCAGCAATTTCTGTGTGTGTTTCAGATTTCCAGCATTCGCAGTATTGTTTATATAATAATCCAGGGAAGCAGAAATGACAGGTTGAGAAATTGAAGTCAGTTCTTAAAGCACAGTCTCCTCAGAAATGAAAAGTTGCACCCAGTAAAAGTAGCTAGGTTGGCAGCACAGTTGTAAAAACTGAAGTAACATCCTCTAGAAGGGGAAACTAGCCATCATTATCTATAAGTACAGAAGTTGCTGGAAAAGCTCAGCAGGTCTGACCCTGAGGAAGGGTCTGGACCTGAAACCTTAACGATAACTCTGATTTCGCTTCACAGATGCTGACCTGCTGAGCGTTTCCTGCAAAATCTGTTTATATTTCTGATTTATAGCATCTGCAATTCTTACGGTTGTTATCTATAAGTAACTCTGGTGCTCAACCCTGCCACGCAGTAGCATCTGAATGAACCTCTCAGTTGTAGATATTTTCCTAATCAAGACGTTCAAAGATTTTGTAACCCATTTCTGGCGCAAGTAGATCTTGCACCTGGGTGTCGTACCCTAGAGGTAGGGACACTACCACCACACCACATGATCCCTTAGCTTCTTGATTGCAAATAGGTAGTTGGAGACAGGCAATAAATGCTGGTGGTGCCAGAAATGCCTGCATCTTGGGAACTAATTTTTAACGACCAGAATCAAATAACAAAAGCAGGAGAGGCATTCTGAGTCTATTTAAGAAACTGAATATAGTGCCCAGGAATCCCTGCTATCTGCTAGCAGATGGCTGTTGGTAGTTTGCTAAATTTATAATTGCAGCCCAGAGGTAATCAGAGAGGTTGTATTGGCTGTCTAATTTGAATGTTCTGGCTATTTCTCTATGTTAGTGTGGGGTGTGGGGTGTTGGGGGGGTGGGGGGACATGCTCCTAATTTTTCTGTGCTGGTCCTCAATGACATCTTGTGTTTTAATACAAGGGAACATCATGCAAGCAATACCAGGCAGGAATTGGTGCCAAGTCGCATAAGGAGTTAGAAGAACGGGTGACTTAAATGGTTAGAGTCTTAGAGACTTTAAGGTGCATATGGAAGGGAGGTACAGGTGTCTGGAGAGAGAGAATTTGAGTGCACAGGATTGGAGACCCAGCCATTGATGGTGGGGTGATTAAAATCAGGGAAG